GTTTTATACAAGTTTTATTCACATATTATAACAAAACACGGTGTATTCAATAAATGACATACACTCAACCTAGTAATATCTTACATAAATTACTGGCTTAAATCATTACACAGTGTTCTTAATTTTTGGCTGCAAATAAATCGACCTGGTCATGGGATTGTAGCCATTTATAACACAAGCAACCACTAAATATGCATTTTCCTGTCCCGTTTCTCCTGAAGAAATTCAATACACAAAACAAATGCAATAGCTAATCATCTTTTAAATGGAAAAATTATAGTTAAATGAACGTTTATTTCATGGTTTTACTATGACAGAGTCCTGCATCTTTTCAATTTAATAAATCAGAACTGATACTCAGCAAGAAACCAAGCAAATCTTACACAACCTTCAGAATACTTGATGTCCCAAATTAATTGTTCACGGTTACATTCAGCAGATCCAGTCAAATATCAAACTGGATTCTATAACCTTACCTAAGCTATTTTCATTGCAGTTTCAATACATCTTTCTTACAAACAATTCAGCCTTCTCTTTTCATCCATCATAGCTGTTCTTTAAATATACATTGTACATAATTATCCAAAAGGTCCACATCTGGTCCAGCATAAACAAGAACTTCATTACTGTTTAGACATTCACTAAAGAACTCTCACCCAAAAATGATGTTAGTCATGGCTGAATTCAATCCACGAAGTAATTTTGTATCTTCAAAGTAGTTCTCTCATCCACCTGTTCGGAGGTTAAGCTAAATTGCAAGTCATATAAAATCCTGCAAATTCAAACACAGACAAACTGATTACAAGTTCTGAGATATTCATAGTAGCAGCTGTTCAGACTGTGGTCTTCTGGGCTGTGACAGCATGTATGTAGTCTTGTAGACAACAGGTTTGTCTCAAATGTTATATCTCCCTACAAGGCTACACAGTGTGACAAACCGGAAGATTACAATATGAAAAACTGTTTACATTTTAAATTTTCAAGACTGTCATCAAAGAAAATGTTTGAAATTTTCATGGTAGTGAAGATCCTTATTGTGACATTCTGCGTTAACAATATGTAGTCTGGTAGGTGGGCACCACTCTCTCAGAGCCAGACCTGATGTTCCTCCACAATAATACTACCCACCTATCACATCACATGGTGTCATAACTCTGAAGGCCACATTATGAACCATCAAAAGATATTGTTACTTGACGCCTGAAAGCCGCAATTGTGGAGTCAGAGCTAGGCGTCCTTTGCTAGGTAACGGCTCAGTAAACACTGCCTAAAATATGGAAAAGTGGAGTCAAACTCAGAACTATCCATTTTGCTAGGCAACGGTTCATGCACGTTTCTGGTACAATGCATACATAAACAGAGGGCAACAACAGATACAAGAAACTGAAGCCTTGAATTAAGTGTTCTGTATGCAGTCAGCCAAAAGTATTAAAATATGACGAGTTTGCCAGACAAGGAAGTAAGCGTGAGAGAGTTCCAGAGTTTGGGAGACCACAGACTTTTCAAGATTCATTGCATTACCAAGCAAGCAGACACTGAAGATTTTGTTTTGTGTTTTATAGTTACAGTATTATTTGAAGTGTTATACGTAGGTGAGTCAAATTAAAACCTTAAATATTTTTTTGAGTATTACTTATTGTGCACAAGTGGTACAAAGCTGTATCACTTTTCAATATAATCTCCCCCACGCTCAATGCAAGTCCTCCAGCACTTACAAAGTGCATGAATTCCTTTAGAAAAAAATTCTTTTGGTAGTCCGCGCAACCACTCATGCACCACGTGGCATACCTCTTCATCAGAAAGGAACATCTTTCCTCCCATTGCTTCTTTGAGTGGTCCAAACATAGGGAAATCATTTGGGGCAAGGTCTGGTGAGTATGCCAGATGAGGAACACACTCAAAATGCAGGTCATTGATTGTCACAACTGTTGTATGGGCAGTATGCGGCCTTGCATTGTCATGTTACAAAAGGATACCTGTGGACAGCAATCCACGTCGCTTTGATTTGATTGTAGGGCGAAGACGATTTTTTAGGAGCTCTGAGTATGATGCACTGGTGACAGTGGTCCCTCTAGGCATGTAGTGTTCCAAGATGATGCCTTTTTCATCCCAAAAGAGAATCATCATAACCTTCCCTGCTGATGGTTGTGTTCGAAACTTCTTCGGTTTTGGAGATGAGGAATGGCACCATTCCTTGCTCACTCACTTTGTTTCCAGTTGGTGGAAGTGAACCCAGGTTTCGTCCCCAGTAACGATTCTTGCAAGGAAGTCAACACCTTCTCGTTCAAAGCGCCACGGAAGTTCTTCACAAGCATCAATACGTCGGTCTTTCAATTCAGGAGTCAGCTGCCGTGGCACCCATCTTGCAGACACTTTGTGAAACTGGAGCATATCATGCACAATGTGGCGTGCTGAACCATGACTAATGTTTAAACTTGCTGCAATTTCATTCAATGTCACTCTGCGGTTTTCCCTCACTATGGCTTCAACTGCTGCGGTGTTCTCTGGAGTCACAACTCGATGTGCCTGACCCAGACGAGGAGCATCTTCCACTGAAGTCACACCATTTGCAAACTTCCTACTCCATTCGTACACTTGCTGCTGTGACAAACATGCATCACCATACTGAAACTTCACTCTTCGATAAATTTCAATAGGTTTCATGCCTTCACTACACAAAAACCGAATAACAGAATGCTGTTCTTCCCTGGTGCAAGTCTCAAGTGGGGCAGTCTCAAGTGGGGCAGCCATCTTATACTGGTGCTGTGACGGTGTTCGTGCATCTGCACTATGCTGCAACCTACAGGCCATTCTGCACGCTGTTTGTAGCACACTTACCAACTTATAGGATAATGGCACAAAATTTCGATTTTTTATTACAAATTTAAGGTTTTTATTTGACTCACCCTCGTAATTGTTCATAATTTTGATGCATTATAGTTAAAATAATCTTAAGTGTTATAATTAATTGTAGTTACAACTTGTGAATGACCAACAGATCAGTTTGCCAATCCAAACCCCATCTATGAGTCATTAATACATGCAAAAATAGGTAAAGTTATGAATGAAGAATCTCTCATTATAAATAATGGCATGTCAGTCTGGCATGATGTTTCTCAGCAGAAATAAATAGCATTTACTATACAAACAAAATCCAAAACCAGTAACTGAAGAAAAAGAAAAGAGTTGTGCCAATTGGTACAAATAGATTCCAGATCAGATAAAATTGAAGGAAACTTTTAATTTATTTAAGAAGGACTTTCAATCCTCCCTACTGAATCACTCTTTTTACTCTGTTGAGGAATTTACATCATTTTAAATTGTTTAATATGGGTGAGTGTATCACTATCTCTTGAAATGATAAATATCTTGTTTTCGCCTAATTTTTATAACTTTGGATACAGTGTCTATTCTGGTAACGGAAATTTTGGATGCAGGTTTGTCATATTGTATCTTTTTATAGTAGTATGTGGGGCAATACAAAAGTTTCCGAAATTTGAATTTTGCGCGTGAATGGTTATGAGTACATCGAAATACTGCTAGGTGTCTCCTCACA